CAATAGCTGTTTGGTGTAATCTCCAGATAGTCCCTAATAACGCATCGTGCCGCACGCACAGTAAAAATAAATATAGGAAAGAAAAATGAAAATAAACCGTTCAGTAATTATGGGCTTACGTTTTGGTACTCGATTTTCAAATGTTTTTGGTTTCAGCCACCGCACCAGGGGGAAGATCGGTTAAAGCTTAAGAAACCAATGCACTTGTATGTATTTAGATGCAGTTGAAACAGTCGAAACAGAACAGTTGAAGAAGCTGATTTTAAAAGCTAAACATTTTGTGTAGTGCGCTATCGATTCTACGCATCTATAAACTTATATCTAGGTGTTTACCGCTCTTTTTTGTACTTTTCTTTAACCTTTTTCACTAAACCACATTTGACGAACCGGCAGAGGTGGGTGCTAACCAATGCATCCCTAAATATATCTCGATACCTATTCGAGAATTCAAATACTCATTTATTAAAATCATTCAAAAGTATATTGAAGAATAGCTTTTCTAGACTCTGCGGTGCATATAGGTACTGACCAAAAATTAGAAAACCACTGCAACATATCCCTTGTTAACATTGAGTATCGTGAGGAACATTACAAAAAATAATAAATAAATTCCCATTGTCCCTCGGAATCTGAAGACGATATGATTCCATTACGGAGGGAATACGCAACTTTTGGCCAGCAGCCAGGGGCTACGTCACACTTTTAGCGGCTACATTCCCTCGTCGCTGAGGTGGTCATGGCTAAGTTGACGTAAAATCTTAAAATATGCACAAGATAAATATTTCGGCTTCGGGGTGAGAGGTGACTGTCTCCGCGCCCTCAAACGTAAATGTTGCAATAGACTCTTTAATCGCTAATTCTATTATTTTCGTGAGGGTTCCACTTGTTTTCTCCTTTGAAGTAGGTAACCGGAGAAATCAACAAACATGGAGATGTGGAGAGCTACCGAGAGCGCGAAGCTCACAAATGATATCGCCAGAACGTGATGGACTTCACAATATAGACTCCATTATGTGACACATAAAATATTTTTAATAAACGATAAGCATGAGCTATTTTCATAGATTCCAGCAAACACATCAAGGCCAAGAAGATTCTTGCTATTGGGAATCCTTTCAAAATGATAACATAGAGAGTATGTTTCGGATGACTGTCTTATCAGTGTTTTATTTACTTCATCTGAGTATTTTATACACTAATAGTAGGTCCAGATGTTAGCGAACTTGTGAGTAGTGACAATCAACCTGCTACTGGATGGCATTAACAGAACAATAGTCATATTTTAGGCATCCCTTGTATTTTATTAATGCTTGGAATGACTTCGAATTGTATGTGATTAGATCCATGTGTGACCAATTAAACTGTGCAAATTGCCGATTGCTAAATTACTGGGAACGAGATACACCGGTAAAGCTTTAGAACGTGCTTTTCTTACATGTTTTTTTGTATTTTTATGAAATTTATATTGTTGGAATAGAAAGTTGATATGCATTAGGTTGAGAACGGAATTGAAACCTAATGGACCACAGGGGTGTCTATGCCGCATTCTATGGTTGTCAGTTATAGTCTGAGATCCACTCGCTCACACAGACAGACTGATAGGGCTATGTAGATCGACTTGGATGTTATGCTGTCCATCCTTTGTTCATCCACCTTCATTCATACGTCTGGACATTGGAACTAGTGCTTAGTTCCCAAGTGTTAGTAAAACTATGGGTACAGAAATCAATGTTGTGGATTTGTAATTCTTTCTTAGAATTGTTATCAGTCAATAGAATGGGGATCTGATCTGAATCGTTAGAGTAGGATTTACTATTGGTGAGATAAAATAGTGGCGGGCGGACACAAAGGACCTTATTCCCTCGTGTTTTTTACACTTTTTATTGTTGGGAAGAAACACACTATTAGCTTCAGATCCAACTGATTCTCGGCTGTTCTCGTACACATTTACTATCAGCGCTCCTCTTTGCTTGACTCACCTGTGTGTCATTCAATATTTCGAGGTGCTCGCCCTTGCGGAAGCTCAGGTCCTCGTCGGTGCGAGCGTCATAGTCGTATAGGGCCACGAATATCTTCGCGTTAGCTCCGGCAGAATCACTCTCTGGGATTTGTGGCACCGGCCGAATCTGCTCTGTGGGCTGGCCCGAGTGCGAGGGCATTGCTATCTGCGGCACGCCTACGACCCCGCCAATGGATGGGGGTTCATCCAGCTTTATACGATCGGCGGCGCCCTTATCGACATCCCCCGCTTGTGTGGTCAGACAATTGCCCATCTCGGCTGTCGGCGGTGCACTTGGTTGCTGCTACTATCGCTGTGATGTTGTCGAAGACTTGGGGCACTGTCGTGCTAAATGCAATGAATGGAAGCCGAATTGCAGCCAGAGGCGATTACGTTGCTGTTACTTTCACTGCGCCCGTGCAACGCGCCGTTTGTTTATTGTTTATGTGTTCGCTGCGAGATCAGTGCTGAGCTTGGGTGTTGGCACCATCGACGCTCTCGCTCTCCCCACCCACTCTCTCTTTTCCTTCGCTCTTTCAAAGTGCAGAGCAATGTTGTGACTCGCTGGCTTCCAATTTGTGTAGTTGGATGCGGATTCGCCCAACTCCGCGTATTTCTGTGGCACTAACTAAATTAAATGCTTTCACACGACCGGACCTGCGTCTGTGTGCGTTCGCGTGAGCGTGTGTGCTGCTGAGTTGTATCTACGGGTCGTGTGGGTGTGTATGTGATGCTAGGCGCTGGCAAACAACACAGGTCGCAACTATGATGCTGCGGACTTCGCGGAAACGGCTTTATGCGGTGGTCAATAGGGGGATCTGCGCGTGCACTTCTTATTCCTGGCCTTCAAACTTCTTTTTTCACATTTTTCACTCAACTTGTGGCCTATTTTTTCATTGCGAAGAGAGTTTTTTTCCTGCGAAAATGGCTCATCGATGATTTTTTGTTGGATTTTGGCTATTTGTATCGTTGGTATTACTACTAACATCAGCAACGGTCCCACTGAAAAGACAAAATTCCGTTTTTTTTTCGGTATTAAAATGGCAACACCATCCCACACCGATGGCGTTGCCACTAAAAAATCGGTTTGTTCTATCGGTTTTTTTCCTATCGAAATGTGAAAGAACAAAAATATGAGGGGAAAACATGATTATGAAAAATCTTTATTTTGAATTTCAAGCGGAAAATAACCAAAAAGCAGGCGCCGTATGATTATATTTGATTTGTATTTTGTTCAATAGATAGTAGCAATAAGATTTTTAAAATACAATATGAACAATAATTTAATATAACAATAACATTGATTAATATTTTCAATGAAAATGGATTTTACTTTATTCCTGCTAAAAATATTTTGGTAAAGAACACTAATTATATCTTGTGTTCTTTAATTTATAATTTCTGAGCACAGCTGAAATAAAATGAAGGACGAAATCCTTTATCAGTTCGCATAATTGAAGTACAAGTTCAACGGTCTCTAGTCTTGGAAATGGTTGGAGAGGAGACGAGATTCCTTAAAAAAGAGATTCTCGGTTATAGCGCGCAATTTAAAATTTGTATAAGATTGCTTTGATCAATTTGTTCTCCTCTTTAACGAATTCCACATATGTAAAGTTAACGCAAGTGAATTAAATTGCCATAAAAATAAATCCTAATGAAAATAATTAATGGTCACACTACCTCGGCACCCGAAAAAAGTGCAAAATCGCTATCAGAATTTCAACAGCGGATTTTCGTCAACTCAGTACTATGCTTTAGGAGGCAAAAATTTCTTCCTTTTTTTACACCGTTTTTTTTATATGGAGTTTGACAGCTGTCACTCGTGCGACAGCGGATTTTCGTCAACTCAGTACTAGGCTTTACTTAAGGGGACCCCCCCCCCCCATTCTCGATTTCCAATTTTTACGATTTTCAATAAGCTGGCAAATGAACATAAATTATTTTTTAGGGTTGTAACTTTGCCTTCATTTATTTGAAAAAATAAAAAGAAAGAACAAAACTTTACAATATTTTTCATATATTTATTTATTTTTTTTTTGTTTGTTTTTTGTGATAAAAAAAAGCCCTTCTTTTCGGCGGCGCATGTGATTTTCGCTCACTGGAACATTTGAAACCTAAAAATTCCAACGGGATTAGAAAGAGTACATGTTTGGCTCTGGTATGAACTAGGGTTATTAATTTCGCACAACAAAAATTAACAAAATGGCGGAACTTCGAAATTTTTTTTTTAATTGCCTTTTTTTTTTAGCCACAAATCAAGTTGAAAAGTAAAGAAGATCTTCACCAATTTCGATTAATCCTAGTTCATACGAGAGCGATATATGTATAAAATAACGTATTAAAATTTGGAACCAGTCGTAAAAACACTGTTTCGAGAAAAAAGCGTTTAAAGTTTTGAGACGGCTCTCGCCGTCGCCTGGCGCTTCCACCATAAATCGGCTATATCTTCAAGAGTTTTTGAAATTTTTACTTGAAATTTTAAAGGAACATTCTTGAATAGTTATAAGTTTGAATTAAAATTTCTTATCAATGTAAATTAAATTATCTTAAAAAATCTTAATATAGGATGCATTGGTTTAATTAATTATAATAATAATACATTGCAAGGATCTTAGTTCCTATAAAATATTTTCGTTCATACAAAAATATTTCGGTCATTTTTCAAGTTTCTGAAAAAAGGTGGCCATATACATGCATATATACATATGTAGATATTTATAAACATGTACACATCCAATGTAATATCCAATCTACTCCTCCAATGTACACATCCAATGTACTCCAATTTTACTTGACCAGTAATGCCCTGAAAAAATGTAGAAACTAAAATTTTTTTACCTATCAAAATTCAGATATTTTCACTAATAAATCACTCTCAAATTATTATATATTTTTATTATTATTATTAATTTATAATTATTTTAAGAAAATAAAGTTTACCAACACATGGTATGAACGGCTATCGATTCATCGATACTTTATATACCTCAAAGTTTTTACCGTCAATGATAAAAACTCACCCCTACAGCACAATATAAATTCTTGCCATTCGTAAATTTAACTGAGAGAAAAAAGGATAATATGGATATTAAGTCGTTTTTGTACGAGTATTGTTCTAAGTCACGCCTGGAACCAAAATTGGACGTTCGCCAAACGGGTAAGAGCCGCAATATCGCCTTTGGGCCCAAACTCCTGCCGGTATACATACGAAAATGACAATTTGCAATTATAGGACCAAAAAACAGGCAACGGTTCTTATGCGAAGTGCGTGTAGATCAAAACAACTACATTGGGGTGGGCAACTCCACCAACAAAAAGGACGCCGAAAAGAATGCGTGCCGCGACTTTGTAAATTACTTAGTGCGCGTCGGTAAGCTAAATGCTAATGATGTGCCCCCAGATGCTGGCCTCGGGACGTCTGGCCCCAGAGGTGGTCCTCAAGCCGATGGTCAGTCAGAGGGTGGGGGAGGAGACGGGGGTCAGTCGCGACGCGTTTTCGGCGGGAAGTCGGGCCCACAGGACCTGGGTGAAGCGTACCGGCCACTCAATCACGAGGGCGATGGTGGTCATCGCTTCAATATAATCGACCACGTGCAGGAGCAGAAAGATATGAATGAGGCCGAGTCAATCGACGTTAATGCTGCAATTCATGGCAACTGGACCATAGAAAATGCCAAGGACCGCTTGAACATGTACAAGCAGGCAAACAATATTCGCGATGATTACAAGTATACTCCGGTGGGCCCGGATCACGCTAGGTATGTTATGATCCGTTTATTTATTTTTTTTTTGGGGTTGCGACTGCGTTCCAGATTTGTCGATTTTCACACCCAGCCAAGTCTGGAACGCAGCTCGCAGGGGGACGCCGGCAGCAACCAAGGGCCATCAGAGCGATGTGGTACGAAACTAAACGAAAAGGCGCCCGGCAGCCTTGCATGTCGTTTGTAACAGAAACGAACCGGCATGCAAGGCTGCCTTGGCTGCAAAAATTCTCGTCATCCATGCTGGCTAAATATCAATTTATTATAATAGCACCACATCGCTTTGGCGGCTGGCTCGCCAAATGTGTCCTCTGCTGCTCTCAATGAGTAGTTTTTTATAAATCGATAAGGTAAGTCATAGTCCATTTGAGCACTTTTGAAACCAAGCCTCAATTTCTACCTAATTCAGGAGCTTCATGGCAGAGCTGTCTATATTTGTTCCGGCTCTCAAGCGAAAGGTCACTGCTCGCGAGACGGGTTCTAACAAGAAAGCGGCCAGCAAGTCGTGCGCTTTGTCATTGGTCCGTCAGCTGTTTCACCTGAAGGTAATTGAAGCCTTTAGTGGCACCCTTAAGAAAAAGAAGGACGAGGAGTTGAAGCCCTATCCAGTTAGCCTGTCTCCCAACCTAGTGGCAAGCGTAGACGAAGTTATTAGGATGCTGGACATGCCTGTCGTTAATCCTTGCAACATTAAAATCGAACCGGATGCGGCTCCAATTTCCCTAATTGTAAGTAGTTCGTTTTTAACCATTTATTGATTGTTAGTTTTGACATATTGGTGAAAAAACAAAAAATCATTAAAATTAATGCCTTGACGTATTTTTTCGCAAGTATCACATGTCACTGAAGACTGCAAAAGCAACCTACCCAAATATTTAAACTAAAAACTCTATAGTACCTCTAAAATTTAAGATTCATTAAATCTAAAAAACACATTATCAAGAACACCTTCTGTTGTAAAGTTTGACTTTTTGATGACGATGACTTTTGCGGAAAGGCATCAATGTTAAAGAGATTAGGATATTACGCTAATTTATAAAACCATTTTCAATTAGGTTAACCAGAATCGCATGGACATGGGCCAAGAGCCGGGAGAGAAGCGTCAGGAAAGCTCGGTTATTCCGTGGGCGCCCCCGTTGCCGAATTGGAACGCCTGGCATGCCTGCAACATCGATGAAGGCGAACTAGCCACAGTTAGCATTGATGACCTATCAGCAGACTTTGAGCGCTCGTTGCGCGATCGCCGTCAGAATGATGCTGAATATAGGCAATTTCTTGAATTCCGTGACAAGCTGCCCATCGCCGCTATGCGCTCTGAGATTCTCAGTGCCATAAATGAAAACCCTGTTGTAATTATTCGAGGCAACACGGGGTGCGGCAAGACAACCCAGATAGCCCAGTACATCCTGGATGACTACATCTCTTCGGGGCAGGGTGGCTACGCAAATATTTATGTTACACAGCCGCGACGAATCTCGGCCATATCTGTAGCGGAGCGCGTAGCCCGCGAGCGTTGCGAGCAGTTAGGCGACACCGTTGGCTACTCGGTGCGTTTTGAGTCTGTGTTTCCCAGACCTTATGGAGCAATTCTCTTCTGTACTGTGGGAGTGCTACTGCGCAAGCTGGAAGCTGGCCTGCGAGGTGTCTCTCACATTATTGTTGACGAAATCCACGAGCGGGACGTAAATAGTGATTTTCTGCTGGTTATACTCCGTGACATGGTCGATACGTATCCAGAATTGCATGGTAATTTTAATATTGTACCCTATCATAGAGTATTAAAATGTTGCTAGAACGTATTGAGGATGTATTCCGGTCGCGATTACCGGCGATCATCTCCATCTTGGCGTTATAGGAAAATTATAATCTCTGCAAGGGTACGAAAGCTTAACGTCAACAATTTAAAAATATTTTTCGTTTTAGTTATCCTGATGTCAGCCACAATAGACACGTCGCTTTTCTCCAAATATTTTGGCAACTGCCCGGTATTGGAAGTGCCTGGCCGGGCTTTTCCCGTACAGCAGTTCTTTTTGGAAGATATTCTTCAGATGACCAACTTCGTACCATCTGCGGAGTCGAGGCGGAAGCGCAAAGAAGCCGAGGATGAAGAGCAGATGCAGCTTTCCGAGAATAAAGAGGAGGCAGAGACCAATTACAATAAAATTTGTGAGGAGAAATATTCGCAGCAGACACGCAACGCCATGGCCATGTTGTCCGAAGCGGATGTAAGCTTCGAACTTTTAGAGTCACTGCTGGTTCATATCAAATCAAAGAACATACCTGGAGCCATTCTCGTCTTTCTTCCCGGCTGGAACCTTATCTTTGCGTTGATGAAGTTTTTGCAAAGCTCCAACACATTCGGTAATTCGTCCCAATACCGCATTCTGCCGTGTCACTCCCAGATCCCGCGTGACGATCAACGCAAAGTGTTTGAGCCAGTGCCTGACGGCGTTACCAAAATCATTCTCTCCACCAATATTGCAGAGACTTCGATCACCATCGACGACATCGTTTTCGTGGTGGACATTTGTAAAGCACGCATGAAGCTGTTCACTTCTCACAACAACCTTACAAGCTACGCGACCGTGTGGGCTAGCAAAACCAACCTGGAGCAGCGCAAAGGCCGTGCAGGTCGCGTCCGCCCAGGCTTCTGTTTTACACTCTGCTCGCGTGCTCGCTATGCAGCACTTGAGGAAAATCTTACCCCCGAGATGTTCCGAACGCCGCTGCATGAGATGGCTCTCACTGTAAAGTTGCTGCGATTGGGGGCTATTCATCACTTCTTATCCAAGGCTCTGGAGCCCCCACCTGTCGACGCAGTAATTGAAGCCGAAGTATTGTTGCGCGAAATGCGTTGCTTGGATGCCAACGACGAGTTAACCCCTTTGGGCCGCCTTCTGGCCCGCCTACCGATTGAGCCGCGTCTAGGAAAAATGATGGTTCTAGGAGCCGTATTCGGATGCGCTGACCTCGTTGCGAGCATGGCTTCCTATTCAAGCACTTTCTCTGAGGTGTTTGCGTTAGACATCGGTCAACGACGCCTAGCCAACCACCAGAAGGCTTTGAGTGGAAGGAAGTGTTCCGACCATGTGGCCATGATCGTCGCTTCGCAAATGTGGCAGCGTGCCAAGCACCGTGGTGAACAGGAGGAAGCTCGCTTTTGTGACTGGAAGGGATTGCAGATGTCGACAATGAATGTTATGTGGGACGCGAAGCAGCAGTTGCTGGATTTGCTGCAGCAGGCCGGCTTTCCGGAAGAATGCATGGTGCCGTACCACGTGGACGCAGAAACTCCGGGGGACGATCCACAGCTTGACATAGCTCTGGCGCTTCTCTGCTTGGGCCTCTACCCTAACATTTGTGTGCACAAGGAGAAACGAAAAGTTTTAACAACAGAATCCAAGGCTGCGTTGTTGCACAAGACTTCGGTAAACTGCAGCAACCTGGCCATCACATTTCCGTACCCGTTCTTTGTCTTCGGTGAAAAAATACGCACCCGCGCCGTCTCTTGCAAGCAGCTCTCGATGGTATCGCCTCTTCAAGTGATGTTATTCGGATCGCGCAAGATCGACTTAACGGCCAACAACGTGGTGCGTGTAGACAACTGGGTCAACTTCGATATGGAGCCAGAGCATGCTGCCAAAATTGGAGCCTTGAAGCCGGCATTAGAAGACTTGATTACAGTCGCTTGTGACAATCCGGCTGACGTGCTTAACCTGGAAGGACCTTACGCACAATTAGTAAACGTGGTTAAGGACCTTTGCGTTAAGAGCGCGGGAGACTTCAACATAAAACGCCAGGAGGGTATTTTACCGCATCAATCGCGGCAGTCAAGCGCTGGTGGCGGTGGACCCCCAAAACGGGGCCGATTTGACGGAAGTGGTAGTGCTGGACGATATTCCGGAGGTTTTGGGAACAGGGGATCAGGCGGCTATGGAAACAGAGGAAGTAACAGCGGACGCAGTTTTGGTTTTGGTGGAAACGGTGGCGGCGGCGGTAACAGTTTTGGAGGAAGATATGGAAACAATGACGGAGGATATGGTAACATAGGCGGTGGTGGAGGCGGCGGCTATGGTAACATGGGAGGGGGTGGAGGAGGCGGCGGCTACGGTAACATGGGTGGCGGCGGAGGAGGATTTGGCAACATGGGAGGTGGTGGAGGAGGAGGCGGCGGCACCTATGGAGACAATAGAGGAGGGAACAATGGAAACAACGGAAACTACAGCGGAGGTAGTTACGGCAACGGAGGCGGAAACAATTTTGGAGGAAACGGTAACTGGGGACGTTATTAATCATGGTTCCGAATTTCTGGGCGTATTCACATTATAACCACAGCGGGTAGATAAGATTTTATAAATAAAACAAAAGAATTAAGTTGACTTAATAAAAAAAACAATTTTATGTCAGTAATTAGAAATGCTCGGAGTTGTCTATCACGCGTCAATTTTTTCCAGCTGACAATCAATGCTGCAGAAGAAAAGTCCGCACTGGTCGCTGATTTCAGCGGGATTCAAGCAAACGCTGCACCAGCGCATGCGTTTAACCATTTTGAGCAGTTCCTCTGCGTTTTGGGCCTGTGAGCTGCTGTTTGGCAGGGCGTTAGCTACGCGGTCATGATCCGCCTTCAGGTCGCGGATTTCAAGCTCCCAGCGCATGGATATCGCGTTAATGTAAGTTTTCGTTAAGGAAGACTCGACGCCGCTATCGGACAGCTTTCCATTGGCGTCTTCTATATTTTGAATTTTTTCCGACGCTTGCTTGATGGCATTGTACTTTTCGAATATGATTTTCCGAAGACGGTTAAGTTGTCTAGCACTAAAGAAAGGATTGATGTCTATTTCCGTTTGTGGAGCCAATAAAAGCTGCTTTTCGGCTGCCCGCTTAGCTCTGGAGGTCCGCTTCTTTGGTACGAATACGACAGTGGCATCAGAATCGCTGTCCGAATCGATGCAGATGATTGATGAGTCTTCGTCGCCCATTTCGTTGCTCACAACTTTGGAATCCTTCGAGAGTAAACTTTTACGCGGCGCGCGCTACTTTACCCGTTATTCAATACCAGGGAGGAAAATAGAGCCATCAAATATCGATATGCGCCACTCACTTGCTTCTTTGGGCATCATTTCGCTAGCATCTTAGGTAAAATTTTTGTACGAAAAATTTAATAAAGGTATATTTACTCATCATTTATCCATTATTTTTCCGTCTATAGTATACCGTCCTATAGTCCGTCATCGTAATAAACTATAATCGTTGATCAGTTGGAAATTGTCAAAAAATTTGTATTTGCATTTGCTGATTCTAATTAATATTGTTGCTGAAAATAGTACAAATAAGTAAATTACTTTATTTTTGAAAAAAGTAACAGCAAACTATTTTTACGTTTTGACCAACAAATCACAAAATAAAATTGTGAATAAAAATATCGATATTTTTGCATGAGAAGTATCGGACGTCGCAATATATTTTTGCCATCGCCATCTATTTAGTCCATTCCTAGCGTCTCCTTTCGGCGCGTAATTTTGTTTAGCTCCGTTAAATCCTTGGCACTGCTATGGACTTCGATAATGCGAAGGAGAATATACAGCCGCTAGCAAGTGGTCGCAACGTAAGTCTGTTGCAGGCCTCGCTCAGCCAGGACTCAGGACAGGCTCAGGAACTATTGGCACAGCGCAAGCAATGGGAGGAGGAGGTACGCTCTTATAAGGGGGACGACCCTCTGGACCCTTGGTACTCGTACATCTGCTGGATCGAACAGAGCTATCCTGCAGGAGGCAGTGGTTCTGGCTTACAGGCAGCGTTATACCAATGCCTTACTAAGTTCGAGAAGGACGAGCGTTACCGACAGGACAGACGTTTCATAAAGTTGTTTATCAAGTTTGTAAGTCTCTGGAAATTAAATTGCAAAGACCAGCTATCTGAATAAGTATTTATTTTATATACATAGATGGAAAAAGAAAAGGACCAAATCCAGTGCTATCAGCAAATGTACAATGACGGCATTGGAACGATGCTAGCTGACTTCTACATCGCCTGGGCATATAGCTACGATCTTACTGGAAACATGCGCAAAGCTGACGAGATTTTCCGGCTCGGAATCGACTGTCGAGCCGAACCATTAGAAGATTTGCGCGAGGCCCACCAACATTTTGGCTTTACAGTAGCTCAACGAATGTTCTATACTGATGGCGAGGAGGTCAGCGCAGTCACACAGGAACTAAATGAGCGTCGCCTTGCATTGCAATCTTTACATGGCCGCAAAAAGCGGAGCTCCAGCACCATTACTGTAGGTAGTGTGCGTACTGGTGCTGCTGTAAAAAGCGGAATGCCGGGTGTGGTGCAGGTAGGTGGATATACAATATGGTTTAAATTTTTTGATTTTTTTGAATGAAAAGGGCTAAAAAGTTATTATTCTTTGTATTGAACTCAATGTCTTTGTAACTATTCTTTTGTTGTATTTTTTTAATTTTGCAAAAAGTTAAATTAATTACAAAGGCGGTTTATATTGATTCTTGAATCTTGTGTAAAAATAGGCAGCTTCTTCTTATATTGTTATCGTCTTGCAAATTGTCTTTCTTTCTTTTCTTTGCACGCAGTATATAAGTCGGAACAGCCGAGATCCGACTATATCCTATGGCTGCCACATAACTGATTAATCGGAAATGCTATAATTATGGTGTTTTTAGAGTTACAGAGTTACAGATTGTACAAACGCTTTTATTGGCAAAATAATACAGCGTACCAAATTCCATAAGGCTCTGCCGACTATATCCTATAGCTTTCATATAACTAAACAATTGAAGATAGAAAGTTGGATCTTCGTACAGATTCTATTTTTGGTCAGTTGATCCGACCCACCGACTACGATCGGCCGACTATATCTTATAGCTCCCATATAACTGAATGATCGGAAATGGTATTTGGTAAAAATACCAACTTTGGTTTTATTGAAGATAAAAGTTTGGGATTTTTTTTACATTTTGTATTGTAATAAATTGGTTATATTATGAGATTATTATAGTGATCGGTTCCAGCTGCAAGGGTATATCAACTTTGTCAAGCTGTCATATAACTGAACGATCGGAAGTGTCCCAACTTTTGTGTTTTATAGAAGAAAGAAGCTTGGGCCTTTTTGGAGCTTAATTGTAATAAATTGGTTATATTATGATATTCTCATAGCGATCGACCAACTATATACGATGTTTCCGGTTATAACTGCAAGGGTATATCAACTTCGGCCCTGCCCGAAGTTAGCTTTCTTTCTTGTTGTTACATGCATTTGAACGAATTAAATGTTGTAGTGTATTGTATTCTACTAGTACCAACAAATTTCGGGCTTAGAAAATAGCTTATGAAATATAAAAAATATAAATGTTAAAAGATACAAATATTTTAAAAATTTGTTTGTATCTTCTCTTCAGGTCGACGCTCCGAGCACAAGCCGCATGCGCAATGCTAGCCGCAACGTGGAGGTTTACAACGACGAGAATGTTGATGCCAATGCGCTGCCGCCCGTTTCTGAAGTGGAAACTAAGTCGACATTGCGCTCCATAATCGATGCGGCCCGTGGTCAAGAGAACGTTAAAGAGCCGGTGGCGTGGAATATGGCGCATTCTAATACGCACAAGAGTGGTAAGATGTTTGCAGGAAACGTCTCGCCAGATTTAGGCTTTGACATACATGTAGATGAGCAATCGCTGCCGCCGATAACAAAGTACGAACGCCGTCTGGAGAAACCCTTTAGATTTCCACCGAACTTCGTATCTAAAAACGTTCCTCAGGAAGCTTGGGTGACTCCAGTCACCATCGAGGACGAGCCCAACGCAACTGGAGTGCCCTCCTACCAGAAGTGTTTTTTGTATCCAAGACCCAACCTAGAGTTTTCCCCCGAAGAGTATTGCGCCTACATTCATTTAAGGCGGCGCGATCGCAAGCACCCCTTTGTTATTAGAAATGATGAGTACTGGGGCTCTGGACCCGTACTTAGAGGCGTTCGTTGCTATCCAAACTTTGCCAAAACTTCTAAGCCGCAGCCACGGGACGAATTGGATCAGTACTGGAAGCCACCACAAGCGCCCGGTCTGCAGACTGTGTTTGATAAGCTGTACCACGACGAGGACAAGATGGAGTATCAGCCGGAGGAACTTCTCGCAAAAAAATGGCAGCAAAAACGCAACACCACAGTGCATGGAGAGCTTGATATGGAGGAGACAGTATGCCTTCCTGGAAACAAGATGCCTCGTCGCAAAAGCTTTTTCCCCACTATTAAAAAATCGACTGCACTGCCTAATATGTCTGACGTAATGGAAGAAGAAGCGCAAGAATGTGACGACCCCGCCGCAGAACTAAAGCCTGCCCAGACAACTCTAGTTTCCCCTCCAGTTGCTAAATTGACATCTGAAAAATCTGTCGCACCGCCGGACGACAACTTTGTTGTGCCAGCCCCGCCCACACAAAAGATAGAGATTTACGAGGACGCGGAGGAGCAAAAACCCAGCGCAAAGCCAACTACTTCGGGACCCTTCTTCGAAGCGGATGAAACATGCTCCACTCAAATGTTTAATATGTTCCTGAAGAATCAGGCCGTAAGCACTCCAAAGTGTTCTCAAAAGCTGGCGCCAGTGAGGCAGTTTGGCACAGTGCTGAAAGAAATATCGCCTGCTGATGACGGAGCACTGGCTGCCTCCGTCGAGTCTCCTTTGGAGACTCACTCCCCCAAGCTGCGTAAAGAGCTTTCCACTATCTTAGAGACTTCCGAACACGGCACCCAAAGTTCGGCAACCTCCAATGCCACCACCAAGTCCACGATAACGTCGACTTTATCATCGCCTGGTTCCCAGGGGGCAGTGACTTTGGTCACTAAATGTGAGGAATATACACCAGGTCCTATCCGTCTACAGAGGCCAGCTGCTCCGGAACTCTCCACGGTCAATGAGCAAGACGTTCCGACTGGTGGAAACTTTTCACGTCGCGAGCTGTGGGAGCCGAATGCACCTAGCGTGCCAATGCTTAAATCTCTGCGTTTTCAGGAGGACAAAACGGAGACTATTCCCAGACCGCTATCTTGCTTTCAAGAGGATAAAACAGAAACGTTACCCCGGCTTCCCTCTGCCCTGCCAGAAATTTCCATTCACCAACCGATGGCCCCTCCACCCCAACTTCCCTCACTAGATGATGAGAGCGACCTTTGCGGATTTTTCGGAAAAACTCCGCCAAAGATGAAACTGTTTGGCTCTCCAATGTTACAGGTTCCGGCCAAGCGAACATGCGACCAGGCCACGCCTGACATTTTCAGCAAATCCATAAGAAACTCTAAGGATCAAAGTGCCAAAATCGCAGGATTAACAGATTCTTTTAAGGCTGACTTGTCGTTTATTCCTGAAACACAACCAATGACAGTGCCTACGCCAAATGTGGGAGTCATGCAAAAGAAGTTTGAGATCTTTCTCGATGAGACTCAGCCTGAGATACCAGATACAAAAGACCTCAGCCTGCCCCTAAACTGCACGCTACCGGAAACGCAAGTGTCGGTGCGAAAGTCGCCTTGCTTGGAGTTATCTCTACGTATGGAAGCCGAGGCCATAGGCCCTTCCCACATTACGTCGTCTTTTATAAAGGATTGCATAGAACTAAGTACCTGCCCGCCTCCTCCAGTTTCTACCTCTACATTTAGCAGTAAGTCCATGTCAGGATCTCGAGAAGAATTGAAAGCAAAGCGTGATTCAGGCAGTGGGAATATCGACAATTTTTTCGAGCTGAACGCCGCTACCGAGATGTTTGCTACCAATATTAGCATGATTAAGAATTCTACGCTTCTACCACCGCCACCGACTACAGAAGCAAAGGAGTCGCTGTCATCTCCTAAAGACGAAATGAGCATATACTACAAGACACCTCCATTAACTCCCAAGCAATCTCACCATTCCTGGCCGCGACCTATCTTGGAGACGCAGCAAAATGACAATTTCGTCCACCCCCAAGGATCTATGGAATCGACCACGCTTAACGAAACCATATCCGATACTAACGTAAATCCTTTTAATGTGGACCTCATTGCCTCGCTTCTTAAATCAATTGACTTCTACATGTATATCGAAGAGCTTCCACACTGTCAGTTGGTGGGTCACGTTAAGAAGTTGCAACCCAACACACAGATTGAGATACATGCCGAGCGGTTCGAGGTTTCAAAGATGATTGGCAAGGGCGCCTACGGGTCCGTTTATGTAGGTCGCCACACTAACTCGGGAAAGAAGGTGGCTCTAAAGCAGGAGCGCCCCCCTAATTATTGGGAGTTCTACATCAGCCTTGAGGTGCACAGTCGTTTAACCAGTGAGCAAATGGTAAGTCGTCGAAAAAGCTTCCGGATTATATCATAAACAAATTTCTAAACTGCTCTCATATGCAGAGTTGAGTAGGATATAGTATGCTCTCATTTATTCGACTTCGACACCATTATGCATATAATAATATTATTTTTTATAATTTTAGATGTCAGCATATGCACATATTGATTACGCTTTAGTCGGAAACAATTCGAGTGTATACGTTTCAGACTTCTCGGAATATGGATCACTCATTGGTGTGTGCAACAAGGTCAAGAATGTCACCAATAAGAATCTTGACGAATATGTAGTGATGCACATGAGCTGCCAGCTGCTCGACATTGTCGACCATCTGCACGCCATGGACATTATTCACGCAGACATCAAGCCGGATAACTTCCTGCTGATGAGGCCGTAAGTATTTTCAGCCAACAGCTTGCCATCACAGCACTAACCCTGCTTTATAGATTGTGTTCGAATCCAAATGAGGTCAGCCTGCAGCTTATTGACTTCGGCGTGGCCATCGACACCAGGCTCTTCCACCCCAATCAAACATTCAATTATGTGCATCATGATGAACTGTTTAAGTGTGTTGAGATGCGTACGCAGCGCCCGTGGACGTATCAGCTTGATTTATTCGGCTTGGTGGGCGTTATGCACGTGCTGCTTTTGGGCAGGTACATGGAGGTGGTGCAGCGAAATCCAAGTGGTGTTTGGATGCCGAAAAGTGCTCTTCCGCGCTACGTCCAGCGTCACGTGTGGGAGACAATATTTCGAACCCTACTCAACGTTCGTGACTGCCGCACGATGCCTAATTTACAGGAATTGAAGACGCTTCTAAAATCTGAATTACTTGAGAAGGAGAAGTATGTGAAGGAGGCAATAACTTTATTTAATAACATTTTACAAACTTAGATACATTACATAAATTTAATATTAAATAAACAAAAAAAACAAAAAGTATATATTCAACAAGAAAGGACGGTTATAGACGAGTTTCAGGACTATATTATACCCAGTACTCATCTCTTCCACCCAAAATTTAACAAACCTTTAAACTTTAAAGTTTAATGGTATGGATTCTTAGGAACAAAATTTTTTGCATACTTTTGCGCTTGGACAAAACAACAACAACAAAAATACGGCCATACTACCGATTCAGTAGGGAAGGAGACTAAAAAGCTTATGACTCCTCTAAAATTTATCCGATTTTGCTGCTTTTTGATTTGTAAGTTTCATTGGAATTAGTCATTGGAACAGTTTGGCATCAAAACATTTTCCAAAAACATTAACCAACTGGCGCTAACACCAAATTTCTGTTTTGAGAAAGTTACGATCTACACATCCCTTACGATCCCTTACGATCCCAAGTTCCAAATCTGGTAGTATCTCTTAGTCTTCGAAATTCACGCGTTCACAATTTTAGCCAGTCTGTATGGGAAAAGGTATATATGTGGGTATATCTCCTCTAAAAATCGGCAGATTTGGATAATTTGTTTTTCAGATATACATTTATTAACTAAAAAAATATTTTGGCGTGAAATTTTCAAAAAGCCTTGCAGTAATCGCGTTACAGAAATGTGCAATTTTTGGGGCGGGAGGAAAGTGGCAAAATTTTGAAACAAACTTGAACTGTGTGGGCATTGTAGGAGTCTCCATGCCAAATCCTATATCTTATAGTCACTGAGATCTGGCGCTAATACGGACGGACAGACTGGCATGACTATATCGACTCGGCTGTTGATGCTGATCAAGAATATATACATGTAATTTATGGGGTCTGAGATGATTCTTTCTCTATGTAACATATGTACATTCACATACATAGAAAACCCTTGTACGCTACGAGTACCGGGTATAACATGTAAGGACCGTGCAGTCGAATTTCAATGCAACTTAAGATACAATTGAATTTCAAGATAGAATTTTGTTGTATTCGTTTAGGTGCATCCGAAAAAGCCACTGAAAGAATCCAATAGAGAAAAAGAATAAGTTTAAACCTTTCAAAAGTTAAGTTTCTATTAGTTATGTTATACTAATAACCCTAAATGGAATTTTGGCTACAGAAATAAAAACATTTCCGAACTAACATTAGCAAAAGATTATGCAAAAGCATTTAGAAGAAACTTCATGGTCAACATGCAAAATCTTATAGCTCGGGTGATTAACATCATGATGGGGGAAGCTTATGGTATTTGGGGTAGCAGATATTCCGTTTCCATATTCCAAAAAAACTTAGTAGTCTACAAGTACCGATTATAAAAATGTAAAATAGTGCATTCACTTCAAAGTTATCTATCTTCATAACGTGTACGTTTGTGTACTAGAAGAGTGTACATTTCGCTTACTTGATTAAGTTTCCTTTACTGGTTTTTGAACCAACCGCAGGAGAAGGCTTTGTGAATACGCCCGCGGTCGCTTTAGCGCGTATAAACAAAATAATTTTGACCCAATTAAGCGGTTTTACGTAAATTCTACAATGCGGCTCCCAATGCGGGAAAATGCTATTCGAGAGGTATTCGGTTGAAAACGAGAGGACAATGCAATTTCGGCGAAACACACATATAATTTCGGTAGTGTGTTTGTGGGGGGTGTGGAAGGCGCCGTGCCATGCCATTTTCATTCCCCATTTGGAATTCGGCATTCTGGTTTTTTGCGTTCCACAGCATTTGTCTGTTTTCCCGGACCGGCCATGTCGTTCGGCGCGTTCATGCGCGAAACAATGGGTTGACGTGTGGTGCGTGGTGGGCACTCCATCTACTGCCATTCCCATGCATATGCACCGCATATAAATCAAAGTCAGAAATGGCTCGACATGATTCACAAATGATTCAAACAGGCGGCCGTTTCGCCGCCGCCATATGAAAGTCTTATAAATCAAAGTACTCGACTCGCTCCCATTCGGCTTGACTCTACGCTATGCGACTAGGATCCTTGGAGCATCGATGCCCCTAGGACTCGGGTCCTGGCAATTGCATGCGGTTAACTATACGTCCACGGTTAACTGATGTCTCGCTCCCCCTTGGACCTGAGACCGCCGTTGTTTTCGTGTGGTGAATTTCGTGGAAACAACTACACCTAAATAGTTTACAGAAGGCAAACATATAGCTCAGTCTAAACTATAATTTTACTGCTGTTTGTTTTGGCCTAATTCTCGTTTTAAAATACTTTATATAAAAGATTGCCTTTGTAATTATGTATCCTCACATAGAAAATATTTATGTATCCTTACCTTGTATTTTTTATTATTGTACACATATTTTTTTCATAGTAAGCAATCACCGAAATCCAGTAAGCAATCACTATAGATATCGGATTTCGTAGATTCCTTCTTAAGATATTAAGAATTAACGCTACAAGACCGACAAAGAAACAAGACAGGTTAGTAACTTGGCTGAGTGACTTGGTTTATCTTTTCCAAGTCTATGTTCCTTAATTCCGCACATAAACCGTCTATCTAGCGATAATTTTGAGGTTCGCCGATATTTCGGTAGAGCGATATAGAACGGGTCGACCCAGAAGCCATGTTCCTCTGTGGAAAGAGGTTACCCCTAGTGATGGTTCCTGGGACTGTCCCCACCGTCCCGCATGATTTATGCAAATTGAAAATGACCTTAGACCCCGCCAAGCGCACTGACACTGTCCATTTACAAAGTTTTGTATGTGAAAGGGTGTGGGAAGACTCGCCGCCCCATTTTGACTTGATTGTGGCCGTCGCTCGACGCTTACTCCTTCGCATATCCCTCTGGCATCTGCTCATGTCCTCGAGCTTGTCCTTATCTATATTTATTTGCACTGGGGCGGGTCGGTGGTAATGCTTTTTGTCGGTATCGTTGTTGGCGTTTTACATTTTGCATCTCAAAGTATTTTAGCGCCATTATTTCATGAAATTCACATTTATTTTGCAGCTGCTCGTAGCAAAAAGCTGTCTGCCCCATTTCCCGGCAACCTTTCCCTAGTCGCTGCCATAGCAGCTTGTTCAAAGCATTATACTCGTAAATATTTTTTATGGTGGAAATAAGCAGTATGTGCATCCGCACACATATCCCTCACTTATCGTTAGCGGGTGGAGCCGAGCAAAAAACGACCACTGTGATTATCAGACTCTTTTTCCAGAGTATTTAAACAAATTAAGTTGGGGGGTTTACAGAAATGAAGACGAAAATGTTTTCAAAACTAAATTATGACAATAATAACAGTAGGAACAATGTCAAACGTACGTTATCGTTTAAGTTATTTATTAAACAACAAGGCCGGGAAAAGGATTTTACTCCATTCGCGGTCTTTTCGGAATATACATATAGTAGTTGTGACACCTGACTCCCAGCCGTGCATTTATGAGTCAACCTTTATAGGGAAAACAGTCGGATTGAACGGATAAATGGTCCTTATACTTTTGACAATGTTGTGCTGATCCTAATCAAAAAGCTTCCTAACTAAATGAATACGAAATGTTTTTAAAAAAATTGTACTCTTAAAACGGCTAAAGGTCCTGAAGAAAGATGTAGAACATAAAAAATTACATTTTTTACATTTATAAACTGAACAAAATCTATTATGAAATAGTAAAAAGTAATCAAAAATATTCTTGTTCATAAGTAGTGGTAAGGATCGAATTATTTTAAAAGATGTAACATAATAAAAGAAAAATACCAATTTAAATTTAAAAGTAATAATAGTAATAACAAAGTAAAAGAACAAACTAATCACAGAGCTGATTTGAACATGTTCTATGTAATCTAATGATTCAAAGTCAGCCTCAAAAATTAGGTTTCACTATTAAAAACAATGATGTAGGATTTGGCACAGAATAAAATTAAAGAGTACTTAACAAACGTATTGTTTAAATTTATATTTCATATATATTAAATGTATAAGTGTAAGCACAAGTGTTTTTGAAATTTTGTATAAACATTTTGACTCGTTTTGCTATTTTAAAGATTTTAATCTTTACTTTTCACTTGAACGATTTTTTTTTTGTTATACCTTAACGGACTTTGTTAAAGCAAAGTTTTGTTGCGAACCGTTTACCATATTTAGTTGGCCTGTTGACCCTATAACGTTGGAATGTTCGTAGCCGTCTCTAGATTCTAAAATGGAGTGTTCTGATTCAAGTCGAACAATAGAAAAAGGTATCTTGATAATGTTTAACAAAATAAAATGTTTAACAAATACCCAATTTAATTACAATAAAAGGTCCTCTTTTCGGCATCAGACATGTGCCGACGATCCTGCTGTTTTTTAACCTGGCCGCCGGGTACGTTACACGCTTGAATATCGGAGTGCTTTTGGTGGCAATGACGACACGTTTGACATCCAATAAAGGTATTCAGGTAAGACGGCGCTTAAAGAATATAAAATTGAAAATTTATTTTGGTAATTTGTTTCGAGCATTTTGCCTGGGCAGAAACAGAGAAGTCGTACATATTGTCGAGTTTCCACTGGGGCAGCTTCGCGGTGAGGCATCTTGGGGTAAGAACCACCTTGATCCTGTCCACATTCGTTGGGGCCGTGCTTAGCGCGCTTACGCCGTTAGGCGCCTGTGCCAGGGACTGAGCATACCCTGCCTCCATGAGCACCTGGCCAAGTGGTCTCCGCCCGGATCGCAAGCTGCTTGGAGAGGTAGCCAATTCCGAAATATACTGTGGCACGATACTCGCCCCGTTGGCCAGTGGCATCATTGCGGGCAGTCCCATCGGTTGGCCTGGCATGATGTACCTGTCTGCTGCCGTCGGGTTCTTGTGGTGTCTAGTCTGGTGGTTTCTTGGGGAAAACAATGCCGCAAAATCGTAATGGATTAGTGCTTTCGAGAGTGACTACATCAAGCGGACCCTTTGTCCGCAGCGTCGCTGTCCCCAGGGTCCACCTCCAGTTCCCTAGATAGCCATCTTAGGATCGGTTCCCTTTCGGGCTCTGGTGATAGTCAAAAATTTCCAACAGTTGGTTGATTCCACAATGGAGTTGGAGATGCCTTCTTATTTAAGCGGTGTGTTGTTATGTCCATTGAAAATAATGGCCTAAGTTCTGCTCTGCCCCACATCTTCCAGTGGGCGGTTACAACACTCATATAGTGTTATCGTACTATTATCAGAAACCATTAATAAACCTTTCTAAAATTTTGAATACATATTAAAAAAATATGAAGTTTATCTAACCTGAAGTTATTAAAGGTCATTATTAATAAATTATACCGAAGTCTAACTCTGTAAGTTTCACTAATTGTTGTCAGTGAGTTATTTGAACAAATAATACTTTCGTGCGATTACAGGTGCAATTACGTGCAATGACAATTTTGATATTATATCGACATAATTTTTTTTTTGCGTTTAAAAACCGTTGTTCTGTTACAGAGTATTCAAGTTGTGACTCGTGGGACTTGTAGAAGGAATTTCCCATAAATCTCGCACAGGAGACGTGACAAGCACGAAATGATTGGGACAAGTCTGCATTATATGGCTAATGTTTACTTTGTAGTGGCTGTCAAACAAATAGCTAGAAAAGTCAAAATTGCTAGGCAAGAAGCGGCAGGTAGCATCTAGCTGGCGCGTTGTGTAATCAAAGCTTGATAAAACCTACTAAAGAAAACGGAGACCCAATCTCGATGTCTAATTGCCGTCATAATCGCTATATGATGGGTAAGCTTTAGATTACACGCTCAGACGTATTTCAGGTATTGGAACGGGTGGATCGGCCAGTGTTCGTTGACATCGAATCTAACCAGTTGCGACTGGCCCAGAAAAATACGCCAATATAAAAATCGTTTAAAGTTTAAAACACGGTGCACTCTTTTAAAAAATGTCTTCGGAACAGAAAGGTTAAAATACGCAGATCTGGGGCTGTCCCAAATAAAACATTTTAATGTTAAAAATATTTGTAAGCCATATATATGCCTATTTCAAATATACAGATTTGAACAGAGTGTTAAAAATAAGAATAAAATGTGAAATTATTCTGACAGTGCTTCAAATTCTTTCAAGAAAAAAAAAAACATCGAAATGCATTAATTATTTTACCAGGTTTTGTATCTGTTCAGGTGTACCTTAGATAAGCTATAGTTTGGGGTCAATGCACGGCATCGATCACTTAGTATATCGCGACTCGCATTCCAAATTTCTGACGTCATGTCATCCATTCACCTGTAACAGGTTCTTCCTTGGCTTTGACTGCGACGCTTGACTGCATTAAAGCTATTGCCAAATTAATTAATGGGTCAAGTTCCAGGACTTACGGATTACCCGATTATCGAGAATGATTCCCAACATCTTTATTCTTTGTTATAGAACCTAGTTACTATTACTCAGTTGTATCCAGTTTTCAATTTTTGGCATTACGTTTTGTAAGTAAAACTGGAAATTTCAATCAAAACTTTATTTAAATTATATGGGTAGATAGGTTTTGTCTTCCTAGATGGATTCGGAAGAGTATGGTAACGCCATATTTGCCACTTGTTAGGTCAACAATGTAATAATATACTGAATTAAAATTAAGTCAGTGCATAAGTAAAGAATCCAAGATATTCTATTTTATTTCCCTGATTCCCACACCATGCTATGTTTAAACCTCTAAAACCGTCGTTTCGGAGTAACTTTTCTTCAACTATATTATAGAACTACTATTAGAAGAAGCTACTGAGTGTTTCTAGAAGCCATGTAGTCTCGGAAACACAATAATCCGCTCAAAATTATCTGGGCGCAGCTTAAGAAAAGAAAGAATACAATCCCATGACTCAATGAAATAACAAATCCACAACCAGTACCAAAAATAGGCTACTCATAAACAATTACTGTATTAACTGTGATTGAAGTAACTGGCCTCCTTCACCCACAGGTCCGGTCATCGGCATTCGGCATCTGCAGGCGTTGCTGCTCTTTTTAGCCATAGTCGTGAACTACGTGGCGCGGCTCAGTGTAAGCGTGGCCGTGGTGGCCATGACTGACGCAGCCACAAGCAATCCTGATTTCCCCGTAAGTGACCATTTTTCTAGGAGTGGAAAATATGTTACATATATCTTCAATACTTTGTAAGCAATTTCGCAAGTAAATACGCAAGTAATTTCTTTCGAATATTTTGGAGTTTTTGCTAGACAATGGCCCATTTGTATGCACTAAAAAACTTTTAATCAACTACGCCTAAAAAAGCAAGTCACCCCACTATTTCAGTCAAAAGGTTGTAAAATGTATACGGTAGAACAATGTGATCGTTTTTTGGTTACTTTTGCAACGCAATCCGATATCATAATCAGCAATCTCGGAAGCGTTCGAGTTGGCGTAACACTAATCAAGTAAATTTATATGTATATGTCGAGTCCAGAAAGTCCAGAAAAATTCCCTTGAATGTGTGACAATGTAAAATGTAAAATGTTATGTTATGTAAATAAATTACAAATTTATTGTAATTTATTGATCCATACATAACCAAAACATTATTTATTTCTTTGGTCCGTCCGATACTGGAGTACGGTTCATGTGTCTGGAGTCCCCAATATGGAGTACATGAGGACCGGTGGAGTCTTTGTGCATAACCTTATTAACGGGGATGTAGATAGAAAGCATTTACTAACACGCTTAAAATTTAACATTCCTAATAGAAGGACTCGAAACTTTAGTCCTCTGTTCCTTAGCTATTGTAGTTCGACATAATAATGTTATGTTCGAGATAAAATGGTCTCTACTCTATAACATCTTTTTCCTGTCCCTCTAATTGAAAATATAGAATTTTACATTTTCTTACTAACTCCTCCTAGCTTAGCAAATTACAAATAGCTTAATATGTACTAACAAATCGTTTCTCGAGCGCCCCTCGGTCGTCTGGGCCTCTTAGCTTTATGATGGATACAGGAATGCTAGCTGATGCTCTTATTGATGCACAAGCCATTTCCAATTTCTAAAAGACCGCGAAAAAAAAGCGTGGTTTCAAGATGAAAACATTTTTTTCTTTTATTTGGATTGGGTTATTCTATTCGAACATATGTACATACATTATTGAACATAATTTCGATGATATACTATAATTAATGCAGAAATATTAAAGCATAGGTCCTTCCCCCTTTAGGCTTTGAAGGGGAGGTTCTTTTGGATTTTTTTGAAAAAATCGATTTTTTTTTTTAATAAAATGAAAGTTAAATATCTGTAGAATATACGTGCCAAGGGATATTTCGATATTTCTTGAGCTAGAGCGTTTCAAACATACCCATGATAACAAGAAAGCTATCTAAAGGCAACGTTACTAAAAACTTTAAACGCGTTTTTCTCGGAACCATGTTTTTAAACCTCTTGTCGCGCACAGGGCTCGTTCTATTGATCCGATTTCCTTCATTCAAAAAATGTTTAAAAGTACATACTTTTTTGTATGCCTTATACCTAAAATTGGCATAAAAAATTATTTATTTATAATTTTTAAACAAGATCAAAGTAAAAAAAAAAAAAAATTTTCAATTTTTTTTTTTAACGTCCATGAAATTGGTTTATTTTTACCAAAATTAATTGTCGTTAGGTATAAGGCATAGGAAATTCCATCAATTTTAATAAATTATATACATTTCTAATTTAAGTTCACTAGCAGCGGCCCTACACTCGACAAAGCATAAAAATAGAGGTCTACGAGATCCGCCATTTTGAAGCCGCCATTTTGAATTTCCTGAATATTGAATATTTTTTTTAATCGTTAATAAACAATGAATCAAAAGTTCAAAAGCATAAGTTCGTATGTCTTTTCATTTTCCCGCAATCCATTCTCAAAGTTTGCTTAATTTTCGGAAAAATCCAAAAGAACCTCCCCTTAATATAAATATACTTTAAATTGTATTTGTTTTAAATTTTATTAGATTTTGAATTATTCTTAGTATAAATATGAAATATAGCATAATTATAGTTACAATTATATTATAATAATCATTCCATAAATATGAATGTGGATTTTTAGATGATAATTCAATTTTTAATTGCCCTTTTTGACTATTTAGGAGTACAACTGGACCGGCGCGGAGACATCATATGTTCTGTCCAGTTTTTACTGGGGCTACATTGTAACTCAGTTTCCAGCCGGCTTTCTGGTGCGCCGCTTCGGGGCTAAGGCGGTGCTTCTCGTGCCCACTCTTGCCACCGCGGTGCTGAGCGGGATCACGCCTCCCTGCGTCGCCTGGGGCGGATGGCAGGCCTTCAGCGTCATCCGGGTAGTCGAGGGCCTGTTTCAGGGCCTCATTTTCCCGTGTATCCACGAGCACCTGGCAAAGTGGTCGCCGCCTAAAGAACGAAACAGGCTGGGAGTACTTGCCTACTCGGGGGCCGACTGCGGGTCAGTTTTGGCCATGGCTAGCAGTGGCTTAATCGCCAACAGCTCCATGGGCTGGCCAGGAATCTTTTATATGTCGGCGGGAACGTGCGGATTGTGGTGCGTGCTTTGGCTGCTTCTGGGCTACAATAACGCGCCTAACTCCCGACTGATAGGCGCACAGGAGCGGGACTACATCGAGCGGTCAATGAAGCGGCCTGACGGATTCCACGCCAAGAAGATCCCGGTTCCGTGGCGAGCAATCTGGACCTGTGCTGCTTTCTACGCCCTGTTGATTGTTCGAAGCGCCCAGGGCTGGGCCAATTCCACGATGCAGCTACAGACACCTTCGTACATGCATGGTGTTCTGGAAATGGACATCAAAAGCAATGCGCTCTACTCGGCGCTGCCCTTCCTGGCGATGTGGTGCATGGCGTACGTCTATCTGGCCTTTGCTGATCTCGCCATGTCCCGGAAATGGATGTCCCTCACTGCGCTGCGGAAATCCATCAACACGGTCTCTTACTGGGGACCTGCAGCGGCGCTGATCGGCATCGGGTTCCTTGACAAGAGCCAGACCAACCTGGCGATCGCCTTGATGACTATCAACGCCGGCTTGAACGCTGGTTCCGGCATCGGGAGCATTCTGACAATCATCGACATGTCTCCCAATCACTCCGGCATGCTTATGGCTATTGTGAATGGAATCGGAAATATATTTCCTCTTCTGACGCCCCTCTTGGTGGGGGTGATTGTAACAGAACCGGTGAGTGAATAACTTATCTATCACTATAGTGCCATCTGCCATATTCGGGGGGCAAGACGGTTTCCGAGGCTGACAAATACATGTAGGCATATAGGAAATAGGCTGAAATTTTTCTAGCGCTCCAAAGTAAAAGTGTGTAAAAGAAAGGAATAAGCGAAATGGAAGGGTACACTACTTCTTTTGGGAAAAGCGTTATAAATTCACAATTTTTATAATTTCCTAATGAAATTGGTCTCGTTTTATTCAGAATTAATGAGACAATATTGATACGTATCAAAAATGATACCTTTTTTTGGAAGTTATACCAAAAAAATGGCGTCAAAGTCCGAAAAACACGTCAAAAATTTAAAAATTTCAGTTTCTTGTGTAAAAATTTTATCCTTTTTGTTTCAATTAATTAAAGATCTATTTTTTTCAAAAGTTACAAAATTTAACTATTTAAAAACGTCGAAAATTTTTAAATCAGCTTAAAATTACGCGTTAAGGAATTTTTAAGAAAAAAAAGTCCCGAAAAATCGCTTTTTCTAAATAAATTAAGATTTTAAGGGTGTTAGAAATATTTCAAACGAGGTTTTTTACTATATTCGACCTAATAAATTATTCCTACTGGATCTCTTTAAGAGTTTATCCGCACTGTGTAATCGGTATCTCAGCGAGTTTTAGTCCGATCGACATGAAATTTTCACAGGATATTCCTGGATATATGTATACTATACTACATGTATACTACATCTTCGCTGTCTTAGAGCAAAAACTGCTGCTTATTTATCAATTTGATTGTTATACCCTTATACTCTTAATTATACCCTTACCTTATAAGGAAGGAAAATAAATTAGGTCAACTGATCGGTTTTCCAATTTCGTAAGGATCAGCAGTCTGTGTTATTAAGTAGCCATATTACCATATTAGCCATGATACTGAACGATCTCGGAAGTGCCATAATTTTCATGGTTGTCTAAATATAATTTTTTTAAATGCACATTTTTTTGAAGTTATTCTGAAATAAAAAATCGATTAGTTATTTTTAGGATATACGCTTTAATAATCTAAATAGGTAATTATAATAATCTTAATCTTATATTAAGTAATCTTGTTTTCTTTTAATAATTTTATTTACTTTCAGGGCTCTCGTAGTCAGTGGCAGATCGTGTTCGGCATGACCGCCGTGGTGTTCTTTTTCGGCAATCTGGTGTATCTTATTTGGGGCACGACAGACCAGCAGGCGTGGGACGCTGAGGACTACCTGAGTCCCCGGGACCAGGAAGCCAAGTCCGAGCACCAGATGGACCTGAAGTCCAAGCAGAAAAGCCCGGAGTCCCCAACAACTTGATTAGCAACAGCCTACACGACGAGGACATGGTGTATGGATTGGAAAGAAAAGTTAAGCTGCCCAACGCTGATTAAACGCATTTTGGGTCCGGAATTCTGCGTTTTAATTAGAAATTCTCATTGCGTTCCTCCGCCCGCGTTTGTATTTTAATTTCTTGTTTGTACGCATTTCCTTCTCTGGCCGCAGAAATTTAATAGAAAATTCTTACTATTTCTTTGAATGAATTCATTTTCTATTTCTGTCCGCATTTGCATGCGAACGGCACAGGACCCTCCAGCCAAGCAACAAGATTGGGCTCCCGCTCACCAGTCCCAGCCAAGCCCGCCCCATCTATATGCTTATCCTACTCCGCGTCTCCGTCCCCGACTTCGTCCTGGGCAGTCGGCAGCGGGACAGTCAGTCAACGCAGAGCGGCAAACGGCAGGACAGGCACACAGCAAGGAAAAAACTTTGCACACAAATCAGAAAAATGGACACTTGGTGGAATTTATGCACGAACGCGTGCGCACAGTACGTCGCATGGCCATATTCGGAATGGTCTTGCGGTGGCAATGTTTGCCACCATCCGGGTGGGGAGAGGAGGCTCGAAGCCAAAAGAGGCTTATGGCCTGGCCAGCAAGCGGCTGCGGTGCGTTTCTGTGGCGCAGACAAAAACCAAAACCGAAACCAAAACGAAAATGTTTTTCAATTAAAAACGTTGCGGAGCGAGCACAAAAATTCATTTGAATCGCCGAATCACTTTCCTTGTCCATGCTTTCCTCTTTCACCGCTACCATGACCCACCCAATCCCCGAAGCTGCGCCAATAAAAAGCTATAAATGGTCGCAGGATTTTAATAGATTCGGGTGTTCGTACATGTACTCCCCCGCATGTAAACAAGTTCCATAAGCAACTGTTCTCAGCTAATTAGACAGACATTGGGCTCTTTTACGTTTTGCACCAATAAAGGCAATATGCTGTGTGTTACAAATGTCCTCTCTATGACAGCCACGAGCATGGGCTTTGGTCTCCGAGTAACTAAACACAGAAGCCTATCCGCTCTAATTAAATTCTGAGACTGATACATTGCGGTTACCTTACATATACAAAATTATTGTGAGAGTGTGAGTACATTGTTTATTATATAAGTTAAACACGAAATAGGAACTTTACTCTAAATTCAAGATTAAGATTCGCAGGATCATGGCATTCAATCTACATATATCATTGTAGGTTCCATTTATCGAACTTTTTTTTTTTTTAATTTTAATCAACAAAGTACTCTGTTCTAGCATGTACTTTGGATTGTTCAATAAATTCTTAAATTTTAAATTTAAAGAATCTTAAAAGTAAATGCAATATTGGAAATTATTTAATTTATCCCCGTCTGTTAGATAATTTGTAGGGAAGTGAGTAATGTTGTCTAGTGCCTTAATGGGTGTAGATATTGTTGCTTCTGGGAGTGCTTTAATACTTACATCTCATTGACCGCAAATCAATATCATTAGTGCCACATCAAAGGTAGTTACTATGGAAAACTAATGCCGCTCCTGACGGCTGCGTAGGGACGGTAATTTTGTTCCGGTCCTCCCAATTAAACAGGAGTATGCACAAATTCCTGGTTTCCATGTATTTAATAAGATACATGCTAGTGTGTTTCCGTAAGCACGTTCCAGAATTATAATCGAGCCATCTGGCAGAGGCATAGGAACGACCACAACAACTTGTGCAACAATAGACCAAGTGACGTACGCCTCTTAGGACATTGTCCGGCCAGGATAGTGGACATCAAGGGCCATCAAGCACAGCGATTGCTTAAAATTAAATTTATGCCCCATGCTTTCAATTGGGAGCCGCACGGGCAGGCCCAGGCAGCACCCGGCTGGCATAACAAAAGCGGCAAATTAACAGCCACAAAAGAGACATTCGGCTTGTGGCCTACACAATATGGTCAGCTCCAGTTCTGGCCTGGCTTTTACTCCATTTTCTGGCGAGCTTGGGTCCAGCTCAGACTTCGGCCAGTCGACTATTCGGCCTGTCCTCGGTCGGCCTAGGGGCACAATAAGTCAATGTCATGTGTTCTCCGGCTGAGAGCTGCCAGTGACACCCGGAATTCGTTCGTTCGCCTTTCCGAATTCTTCTCCGGAGTGCACGCTTAATTAATATTGCATAAGCGCAGGCGCCATCCAATCCGTTTGCAGTTGTTTCTGCTATACTGGCGGCTCCGTAATTATGGCCCATCTTCCAGGCTCTGCTCTTGCCCACTTCCCACTGCCTCTTGGCCCTGCTCCTCTGCTCTTGGCACGTTATTGTCCTGCCCCACAGGCACCGGAAATTTATGCATCGCCTTCTTTTGTGCCAGGCTCCCGGGGCGCTTTCATGTTTATCGAGTGCATTAAGTGATGTTTTTTCGGGCCCCTGAAATGCGCAAAATGTCCATCAGCGGACAAAAAGCATACATTGGTCAAATTTCGGAGCCTTTCAGAAGGTGACGCAAACTTTAATTTTTGCCAGTTTCCACCACGAGTTGTCTCATGCTTTATTTTGAATTAAAAAGTTAAGCATATAATATGATGTACTTTGTACATAGCATTGCTTGGTTATAGTTATAGCTATAGCTATAGCTCTTTTTCTTTATTAATTGTTTCTTAGGAAGTTAAATAAAATTCAGGTCTGGTCAGGTCTGTTGCAATTTACAATTAGTAAATTGACGGCTGTGCCGATATAATTCAGTGGCTTTTTAAATGAAATCAATTGTTTTGAACAGGATGATTCACCAGAGGACAAACTTGATCTATGACGTGCTTTAAAACTCTTAATAATTAGTTGAAAGCTTTTGTATGAAAGCTGCCAATCGAAGTCAGAGGAAATATAGTATATAAACACCATTATTTATTAAGCAATTAAATTGAGTCGAATTTTTGAATATCGACAAAAGCAAAACACAATATTCGAATCAAAACCAATGAAAATTTAAATTAAACATGCACAAAGCAAGCACTGATATGAATGGAAAGATTTGTAATCAGAAATGGTCCTTTACCTGGTTTTCGGTACAGCTTGCCAGCTTTGGAATATTTAAAATATATGTATGTATTTAATACATTATTCTTCATGGTCTGTCTGCTTTAATCAGTGTTGTCTCTGACACCGTTTTGTTTGAACTCTCATTTGCATTTACATTTGAATTCAGCTCTCACTGCATCCATTTTTCTCCGTTTCGGTTCAAAAGCCCACGCCTCCTGCTCCACCCACACCCCCGGCTTTAGGATGCATATGACCTTGTTTCTGGGCCGGAGCCGTTGCCACCTTTGGCCATATGGCTTACACAGATGAGTGCAACAGATCGGAGCCGAGTGAAGTCGTGTTGGAAGAAAATGCTTTGCTATTGTTAATGGTCTGGCTGCAAATATTGTCGACTTGTCGCTATCGTTGCCAACCTGCATCCAGCAACGAGCAACCAGCAACCTGCAACCTCCAACCTACAACCTAGTGGGGCTGGGGAATTTTTAGAATTCATTGAATTTTAGAACGTAACAATAAAGCACTCAAGATGTGCAATGTGCCAAAGCAACCAAAGGAATGCCGAGCACACACTACAGCTCATGTAAATGGAAGAATATATATAATGTGCACAAACAAAAAATGAGATAACATTTTCGAACCAAAAGGTGTTTATAATATAAAGACCGGCCTTCGATACAATGGAAGGCGCCTGTTCCATTCTTGAGTTTTGTGATACTCGGGCATAATAATAATAAGCTTACTATCTCTTCCTGTCATGTATCTTTCCTAGGAGTGTTTGGAAAACAGTACTCCCATAGTTTAAGCAAAGTTTTGAAAGTGTCAGTCTCCACTTTTTGTTTCGGTGTAAAAACTTGGTAGATGTGTGTTTTGTTAGTGCCGCCGGATTGCTTGGCGAAGGCAACGAGCTTGAAAATTGTGCAGAAAATTTCAGCAAGTTTTCCGCGCTTTTCGCCGCTAAAGGGAAAATCACATTTGCAATGAATTGCAGCTGTTGCATAGACAGTGGAGCACTTACAGCATCGGCAACAAACGCCCGGAATGCCAGGCCCGGATTTGCAATTCATTGGCGAGTGTATATTGCCGGAGTGTCTGCCCGTGCCTGTGTGTTGTGTGTTGTTCATAAAATTTGTTTAAATGTAATTCGTGGCTATAAACGCCTTAGCCACATAGCTTCTTCTGTTTGTTCAACACGATTTTATTTTTTTTAGGGCACTCCCCGATTCGCCGTGCACACCCAAGCTCGTTAACAGCAGTAAAAGTGTTGATTTATTGATTTTGCAAGTCGCATAATTTACTTCACCTGCACGATGACAGCCAAAGGGGGGCACTGCCACATTGCAACAACCACGGGCGGAATCATCGGCAATGACAGCAGCAACGCCACCGCCTTCGCAAACGACATAGACCACACCGATGCAAAAACCAAATAAAAATCCTGGCTCCTGTTTATTTCTCAGCTCTCGGGTCCCGGGTACCTCTGTGACCGTGTTGCTGCATTTTGCATTTCCCATTCTCGATTCTCCATTTCACTTTCATAGAATTTTTTGCTTGTCTGCTCACCGGTCTGATTGTCATCTTTTTCGGCGTCTCTCCCTTCGATCCTGCCGGGGCTTTCACCATTTTACCACTTTACATGTGTGTGTCTACCTGGTGGCACCATGCAACAGCACAAACAACAGCAACATCAAATCAGCAAAAGCAACAACAACGGCACCGGCAGCGGCAACAACAATGTCTGGGCACTCGCAATATCGTGCTCCATTTTCGAGTTGTGTTTTGAAACGGAAACGAAAGCGGTTTTCGTATTCATGTGCGCCCTCCATGCCAGAATTCCTACACCTCCCCATCCCAGCATCCAAACAAACAACTGCAAAGATGCATGCCTCCGAAAAAATCTGTTTTTCCTCTCGGACAAAGCCACAATGCTCTTGTCGAAAGGCAAACTAATGTTAATTCTCACTAGTGAAACATAAAATACACAGATTGTGGTAAAATGGTTACCATTCCAGTTTTAATTGATGTGTTGTGAGTGGCATCAGGGAACTTGGGGCTATGATTTATGGATCATATGAAACTATTATTAATTGACGCAGTTTTGAAAGTAACATTGTTATGATCTCTATTGAAATGAGATAACATTAACAATTGTAATAGTTTTTATAATGGAGTCTTTAATATCTTTAAATGAGTATTTTTCAAACTACACATGTTGGAAACCTTTAGTTATCCTTATTTATATTATTTTTTCCTTATATGTTTTGGAAAAAGAAAAAAAATAGAACAAATATTATAGATTATATTATATATAATATCTTATATAAAATATAATACAATATTATATTATTTTGACTAGAGTCAAAATAAAAGTTCAATTTTTTATTCTGTTGGTGTATAATTTCCCCTACGACCAAGCTAGATTTACGTCTAATTAGCTTCCCTTTGTTTTCTTGACTGAATTTTTTTTGTTTGTGGTTAATTTTTAATGAATTACTTATACATCAATAAATGATTTTTTTTTTATTAAAATACAACATTTTTGAAAATATATATAAAATAAAAACCATTTTTTATACCAAAATACAAGGTAATAAACAGAAATAATGAAGAAATTTTTTTATATGTAGAAATTTATTAGATTTATTCCTATTTATACAGTTTGAGGAACTTTTGTGACTCTGTCGTATTTAAGTTCAATAAAATATGATAACTAAAAAATACTAATAGCTAGTTGTGTTCTGTACATATTTATTAATTTATTTTCGCTTGTGTTGCGAATTAAACGATACATTGCGTTGGTTTTGTTTTGTCTGGTTATTTGATTGTAAAATCTAAGCTCCATGAATCCTTAACCCCCAGCGAAAATATGCTTTTTTTTGACCATAGCTTTAATGGCGCATTTAAACGCAACCGCAGCCCTTAACAACATCACCGGCAACAATCCTGACTTACATGTGTGCACTTTATGTACTGGCGATGGCTG